GGCCCCCCAGACGCTGGCTTGTTGGACACGTGCGCACTGCCAGTGCTCCCGCTAGCTACCTCTAGAGCTCCTTACCCAGCAAGCAGGGATTCTGCCTCTTGTATTCCAGGCATTATATGTAGAGCTAATGTGCCTAATTTGAGGCTTTAGATAATACTACAGAAGTAGGTGCTTAATCCTTCTTTGAATCTGGGCCAGGGATTGAAACAAGACTGAAACAAGATACGAGGGCAGCGAAGATGTTAGTGGATTGGCAGACCTTTAGCGCTAAGAAGCTACAACATAGATGAATAGGGCTTTCTTGCTGACATAGGCAGAGATCAAACTGTTGGATTTAGACTTAAGTAAGATATGCCATAGACTTCAATGACAGCACTTGGAAGTAAAAATACCACCTTATCCTAAGACTTAGGCTGTGCAAGTCAGGAGTAATATCACTGATGCTGTCCTGTGAAACTTAAGATGAGTCATACATCGGGCAGCTATGACATGTATTTTTCCATTCTGTAGAAAGCAGTATGAAAATATAAGCCCACTGTCACATTTTTCCAAAAGGCAGTATTAGAAAGAGCAGGTATGTAAAAAAGTAAATTACAGGGTGCTATTAGCTTACAACCTTCACTTAGAGGTGAAATAGCAAGGCATACACTTTACAGAAATGTTTTAAGAGAGAGCAATATTCAAAATTTGACAAAGGTACAAGTTAACTTTCTCTCCTTACCAGCAGATACCAGGACAACTGCTGTAAACAAACTCATTTCCTCATCACTAAGTTGCAGGGCATTCAGTTTCTCACTAAATTCAAACATCGAGTTGAGCAGATCACCAGCTCCCATTGAATGCAAGTCATCCACACTGTACTTCTTTCCACTCAGGAAAGTGACGGTACGTTCCTTTGCATCAAACAAAGATGCAAAACGTACCATTAAAACCTGGTGAAAGAAAGAAATGACAATAAGAACAGGTAAATATCAGTGGATTTCCAGAAAAGACAAATAAAAAATTAAAACCTTTAACATCATTCAAACGGCCTCATCAACTGCTGTACAAGCATTCTATACAGAAACTGTCAGCATGCTATTGAGCTGTAAAAACCAGTGCAAGCTCTGGCTCAGTAGCCTGAGAGAAACAAACAGGTGAAAAAATGAGCAAGTGGATGCAGGGGAGGGGCTACAGCACATCAAAGGGACGAAAATTAAAATTTAAGCCTCAGACAGCCTGAGCCACAAAGACAATGCCATTCATAAATATGCCAGAAGGACAACTTGCTTAAGCCACCAAACAGCCAAAGGCACACAGAGCACTACAAGAAATGTTTTTCTCAGCCACGCTTATGAAGAGCAAAACGAAGGTACTGAACGAGATTCTCGCTTGGCGTAAAGTGGAGCAGCTCCATCGAAACACCACCCGATGGTCTGGCCCACTAGGCATTCTTTGGGAAAGTACCATGCCACATCGCTGTACCCACAGGAATGTTAATGAGCTCTGGCAGAAAGGAGCCACATCTACGGCCTTCAAAAGGCTCAGGAAGCAGGGCTTGGAACAACCCCTGCTCTGTAGCTGCAGCTGGGAATACCCTTTCGGTATAAGCACCTGGGCTGGAGCAGTTGCCATGTGCTGAACTTACCCCTCTGGGCTGAAATTTCTCTTGTGGTTTCTTAGCCGTACTGTGAAATGTTTCCCTCTGGAATGGCTTGTAAAGTTTCACTTGCTCATGTTCAACAACCTTATTTACATTTGCAAGGTTTGCACAGAACAGCTTTCTTATGTGAAGAAAATGAACCAACTGGCATTGGTTAAAACTTCAGACTTGCTGTAATCTCTTGGTGTGACAGTCAGCTCTTCTCACTTACCCTACATAACTGCATTCATTTAAATGTTTACTACAGATGAGAGGAGAACCAGGTTTTCAGCAGAGTACTGCCTCTCACAAGCTTAAGAAGGGAGGGTTCAGAAAAAATCAAAATGTTTGAGAATTCAAACACCACTCACGCACATTACATGACCTGCTCCTAAACTTTAACAGCCAAATGACATCTCAGTGGACTACGTATTATTCACCTTTGTCAGCTAAGCTATATGTCCTTTGATGACATTCAGAACAGAGTGCAGAAACGTGGGTGCACAAGCCCTCAGAATACAACAAAAGGAGACAAAGGGCAGGCAGACAAAGCTAAATTTGTGCATTAGCAGGGCCCCACCAGGTACTCAACAACCTCTCAGTTCAAAATGGTATCCCTCTGACAGAACTGGGCTTTAGAAACATGAACTTTAGATAATGAGCAACCAGTATTAATGCTGGTATTCAAAACTGAAGCCTGTGTTGACTTAATGCTAAGGCAAAGACCTCGCCTGTAGGTTTCAATGTCACCATTCAAACACAAGGAAGAACGGTTTAGACTATGGCATAGCACATGATTGATTCATCCCGTTTCACTTCAAGACAGATTCCTACTTGTGCATGCTGAGGATACACCTCATCAACCCTATCACCTGACCACAGCAATATAAGCACACAAAAACCTCCACACAGGCAAGAGCTTGCTCACTTCCCCACCACCTTCAGCCAAATTGCCAAGATTGTGAATCTTTGGAGAAACTGAGTCACTACCCCAGTGGATCCAAGGGGCTTGTTAGCTCTACTATCGACTACGTTTGGAGTGGAGACTTGCGGAGGTGGTGGAGGACCCGCAGAAATCCAGTTGAGTTCCTTATTTTATGCTCACTGCTGTTTCTGAGCTAGCTCCCAAAGTCATGCGCATGCCACCATAGTATACTGAGCTCCCCAGTATTCCCAGTTCTAAGAGGGCTTTTTAGCCTGCATGTGTGTGAATATACACAGCTATGCTGCTTCTACACCAACACTGTCTCCATGCATCTTCTTACGCCCAAACAAACAAGCACCCCTTGAATAGAAGCTCCCTTGAATAGGAGCTGCTGGTAAGCACAGTGCCAAGACAGCCACACATGGGTGCCCAATGGAGCCCAAAGAATCTCAGAGGTGGTACTTCTACTCAGATACTTTTGTTAACACACAGATGTTGGGGTATCTTAGTTTGGCTATGCAGCAGGCAAAAATGACCTTGTATGCATCAGGCTTTTGCCTCTATTGCAACAGCTTCATTAATCCTGTTTTGTTGTTTTTTTCCCCACTGCTCTGCACCTTTTTGGTTTGTTTTTTCTGTTGCTAAGATGCCACATAGGCCTTCAACTACAGTTACCAGCTCACTAACAGAAATCCTTAATGTTTCGTATAAATAAGTGAATAGGGATAAGCATGCAGCCATACGTTAGTATTAATTCCCCTGCACACAGAAACTTTCTTATCAGCAGTGCTTGTAACTGGCAAAAAGGCATATGAACGAGGCTTGAGAAAAGCTTGAGGTGAAGAAGAGCCAAGACAAAACATTTCACTCGCAAAACACGAAGGTTTGGTTTTATGAACAGTTCAAGCCTGATTTTCCACCCTCCTTGAGGGCACTGGACAATATAACACTTTGCAGAGGAAGGAATCAGCAATTTCGTGTAATGTGAGCAGCAACATAAGAGGCTGTAGCCGAAGAAGTGAAAATACAGCCCTTAGCTACAGGAGTTGTAGATGAATATTAAAAGGTCAAGAGTAAGTATAACAGCAAACACTACATGACAGCAAAACGGAAGAAACAAAGGAACTGACACGCTCCAGGCACCAAGTCTTCCAGTATAACTTGTACCTTTCAACCCAACAATTACCCATTTTAGAACTGGGCTGTATAAATGCAGATAAAAGACTCAACGTAAGAAATGTCTTCAGCTCAAGTAAATATGAAATCCAGCACCCCTCTTTGAAAGAATAAATCAAGTAAACAAGAGCAAAAGCATCACCAATCCTGCCTTCCCCAGAAAAGAACAGCACCATTGAAGAGTTGGGACTTCAGCTCGTCTGGCCCTCTATGTTTAAAACTTCACATCTGATTACTTATAAAATGTGAACAGTCTCCAGTAGACACAAGAGCCTGGAAGACTAAAACTAAGTAAACGTCCTCTGGTGAAGGTCACTAATTATAAAACAGTACTGAGCTCTGGTATCATTCCCAATTTAACACCACTAATTCACATATATGTCATGCTCCCAAGAGGCTGAAATGAACCTTGAGGACCTGGTGGGATTAGTCTAGAGTAAGTCAGTCCGCAGCTGGCACATGGTATCTACAGAGCTGCAGCAGTACAGCTAGTTATCAGGGTTGCTGCTTTGGAGATGGAGGCTTCAGCAACCCCGTTGCCACCAAAGACTAGTGATGATCAGGAAGAACAGACACCCTCACTTTTGCAGGGAGCACAGTGGCAGAAGGAAGGACATGCAGAATGATAAACATATCTCTTGACAAAACTGCTAAGTCAACTGATAGCTATCCAAACTATCCACTCTTCCAGATGCAGTCTGTTTCTCTCCAGGCTAAGCAAAGGTAGCTATCAAAGTAACCACTGCTACACAAACCCAAGAAATTCCTCATTAGTCATTTATTAATGCTCAGAGAAAACAAAAGGGTAGAAGGGCTGAGCACTTTCAAGCTACTTGGAAGAGGGAGAGCTCACCAAGATTTGACCAGACAAGCACTGGATACCATCAGCTTACGCAAAGCTCAAAGCTAGCATCCGCAAACGAGCTGGTTTTGCCCCATATAACCCAGTTCTATTTATTTTTATTCTTAAGAGGGTGAAACTGATGCACAGCTTGTCGGGTCTGCACTATACACACAGTGGTCTCACCTCAAAGGTTCCAGCCTTCAGAAGATTAACCTGGTCATGTTGGGAGAGATCTCGGAAACCTGGGATGCGCTTGGCAAACTCCACCACTTCCTTCACCGCAGGAGTAAAACTCAGGGAAAACTCTTCCCAGACTTCATGGCCAGACTTGTTTGGGTCCACATGGGGAGTCTTGCTCATTGGGCAGACCTGAAGTTTACAAAACATACACAGGAAACACCTCGTAAAAATAGAATTCTGAATACTGACAAATACTTGAAAGACGTAGGTTTATTCTTCAAAAAAACTTTGCAATAATGACACACAGAAAAAAAAAATACCAGTATTGCTCAGTCAGCTCCCAAGGCATCTGGACTTCTCTTCCTCCCTTTAAAACAAACAAACAATAAAAAACCCATGGCAGTCCATTAGCAGTCTAAATTTGCTGACCTCGGAAATGCCAACACCGTTTACAGCGAAAGACTTGAGAGAACCCAGCTTATGCTACTCTTCCCTGATGTCACTCACGCCTGACATCTGGATTTCTCTTACTTGTATTATCTCTGTAATCTCACAATTAACTGGGATTTTGCAATCAATCAATTGTAATCTCACAGTCACTACTACATTCATTCTCATATATCTTTCTTGTTTTGCAGGCAACTAAAGTGATTCAGTCAAGGTGACAAAGGTGTCAACACCAGAGCAATTAACTAAGCCTTGGATTCCTGAGTCACAAGTTTACACCCTCACTACCAGAACAACCTTCCTCTCCTACGTGTTTGCCTTTATTTCTATCACTAAAGGAGGACCAAGGAACTGGTATTCCAATTCTGCTCAGTCACAAGATGACAAAATGCTCCAAATGTACAGTGATTTTTTACAGAGAAGTCTAAATCCATTACAATCAGATCAGATGTATCAGTCAAGGCTGACTGCCAACAAATTCCCTCAGTAAAACCCAACCAGATGCTCTGAGATACTTGTGGTTCTGCTTTCTGAAATTTACATCCTTGAATGACGTTTAAACTTTTTAATATTCATTTCCCCTGTCACCGTCAAGGAAGAGCATTCCTTTAAGTATTCCTCACAAGTATACCAAACCATCTATGAAATCCTACATGATGTCAACAAAGCAAATAGTAAACAGTGATATAGATTAGTAATTCCTCAGAGCTATGCTGCTTTTGCAAGGCAAAATCTGATAATTGTCTAGCAATTCTTTGCATGGAAGGTCCTAAGATCCATTACAAGAATATATTCAACAGGTATATAGGCGTATGTGTGTGCATGTATGTATTTGGCAACAGCTAGGGAAAACAAGATGGAAATAGATAAATAGATGAATATACATTTCTGGTTGGTTGGTTTTGTTTGTTTTCTCAAATGCCAGTTACTAACTGGGTGGTCAATATGCAGAAAACTCTCCAAAAGGCAAGGAACAGCATTGCAGAATTCTTGGTTCAGCTGTAAATAACAACTTCATTTGTGTGTCTGAGGACAACACCCCAAACTATTTGTTTACTTGTGGGGTAGAGGTGGACCTTTTCCATAAACTGCAAATCAAGAAATATTTTGGCAAAAGGAGAGGTCAAGGCATACATCCAGAAGCACGGCTGACACTAACCACTGCTCTGTCCATGATATGGACACAGGTACTGTTAAAAATACAGTACTCACTGAAAAGAAGGGATCTCTGAGCATCCCACTCTGAATGGGACACAAAAACCTCAACTTCGCATCCTATGACAGTTTACCCTAACCTCCAAGCACTCAGGCCAAAGGGGAAACTGCCACTTTCCTCTGCTGTGTGTTATGTCTAAGGTCTCAAGACCTCTGCCCAAGAGCCACAGAATGTCTCAAGCTGGAAGGGACCCATAAGGATCATCAAGTCCAACTTCTCGCTCCTAAACCATCTGACTAAGAGCGTCATTTAGATGCTCCTTGAACTCTAACAGGCTTCCCACTGAAGCAGCTGTCAGCTTGTGCAGTCACTAGCTTTCTTTAGAGGAACCTCTTCAGGAACAACCTGTTCTGCTCTCCCAGTTGTGGGGGCATCAAGTGAAAAACAAAAAAAACCCAACCCAACCCTGAACATCTTTCTGCATACTGTTTCAGAGCCTAATTACACTCCCTTACCGCTCCTGACTCATTCTGGTCAGATCCTGCTCACATTGAGTTCTCTGGCAAAACCCTCATCCGTGTCAGGGACGAGGTGGGGCAGGGTGGAGAGGCGCGATTCCGCAGCGCTCTGTTGGATTCGGTTTTGTTTCCTCATCCTTATCTGTGTTAAACCTCCCTGAAGCTGCCATGCACCGGTCAAATGGACTGGCTGGGCCTCTGCAGGCACCACCACTCCCTTTGCCTGCCCATACTGACAGGTTTAACCTCTGCTTCTCAGGACTGCCAAGAATGCCATCACAGTGACTCCACCTACTTTCCCTGCAAGGAAGAAAGGTTGGCAATGGTCATTATTTGCCATGGTGTCGCACTCAGAGTCTGCAATTAAGGTCAGAGCCTGCTAGGGATGGCATGGTCCACATATGCTGTAGCTAAAGAAGAAAACAAATAAACCAACAAACAAACAAACAAAAAAAACCCACAAACAATAAAACAAGTAAATCCAGCATCAGAACAAACAACCTTCGCAGTATGCAGATTTTCACGGGCCTTCAAGAACCTGTGAAGAATCTTTACAAACTATAAGGAAGAGAAACATGGGCAGCTCAAGTACTTCAGAAAGGTCAGGGGCTCACGCTCCTCAACAGGAGCGCAGGATGAGAACGAGGATGTTATGTTCTCTCATCCCAGGCGGTTCCAGTGATAAAGAGAAGGACAATCTATTTTAAGGCGCTTACAGAACTGTGTGCCTGAATGGCAGAGAAACAGCAGGTGCAAGGGAAACAGGAAGGACTTGTTAAGGAAAGGAAAAAAAAAACACCAGAAAAATCCCCACACATATACAAGAAAATGGGAAGCATCCTTGTTAAGAATTCAGTGAGAAAACACTCTAGCAAAGTCATCTAAGGTTCCCAGAACCATGTTCAGGGTGTCACTTGTGTAAAGTACTACAGAAAAGACCCTGAATTTCTCTCAAGCAATTTAACTGCACATGTTCCTCCTGCCTCTGCTCAGATCTGAAGATGTTCAAAGGGAGAAGGATGCATAGGCTGTGGGTTCTGTTTAGCCTGTATGTTATACTGCCTGTCATAGAATCAGCCTATTCCCATTAAAACAAAACATACACACTCCATATAAAAAAGCAAACAACAACAAGAACAACAAAAAACAGACTACCAAAAAGAAAGATTTTAGAGCAAGTTAGCAAGGTGAGCTTAAACTTCTAGCCCTGAGGATTCACCCCAGAAATCTGCTCTGAATACCTTTAGGAAAATAAAGTATATCTGACCGCGTAGATTATTTGAAAGTGAAGTGCTCAAGAGGATTGAGTGAAGAAGGGAATTAATAAACTCTTAACATTTATTTTCGATTTTAAGTCAAACCAGTTAAAATTTAACCCACAAGTTTTCTTCAACCAATGCTCTTTGACATTAGTCTACTTTCAGTTTGCTAAAAAGCCAGCCAAGAACCCCCATCACTCGTACTATTTCAAATCCATCACACAACCTGGGCCTTCGTACTCCCTCATCACAATTTGCCCTGTCAAACTTGTGTCACCATGTTAAGTTCCAGCAGTTGTGCCAACTGCGTGCAGCTTCACTGACTAAAGAGGCACAGCTGGATCACACCCACCATTAAACCTTTCACCAAGTCAAATCGAACAGTAGATATCAATATACCAGATGCATTCTTCCTCCGGTGCTGCAGGAGTAAGCAGCATTCTTGCCTGGAGAAAAGCCGTCTTCTGGGATCCTATCGCACAGTCGCTGAGTATAACCCCCGGTGAAGTTCATACAGTGCCCACTTGGGAAACACACGGCATGCCCGCTGGGATAATGCATCGCGCTTCTCCCTTTGTACTGTCCGCCAAGGTGCTGCTCGCTCTCAGGGTACTGAGGGCCACCGAGCCCGCCAACACAGTGCTCGTTGCTCAGGAGGTACTGCTCAGCGCTCTTGGATACTCTCTCCCCACTTTGGGGCTGCATCATCTCTGCCGGGTTTTGGGACTGTTCTTGGTTGTACATGAAAGTGTCTTTGTGGGCCCTGGTGACCATCCCGATCACTTCTTCCTTAGCCATGTCAGCACTAGGAGGGGGAGAAGGGCTTTTGATGGTTTCCCGCTCTTGTTTGGGCTTGGAGGAAAGGTCGTCTGGAGGCGCTTGATCTTGATGTTCTGTTAATGCTTCATTGGGTAAGTGACCGCTGAACTGACTGTTCATCATGGTTTTCATGGCACTCTGCATTTCAATCAGCATCCTCTGTTTTTCACGTTTGGGAATACGGCCAAATCGAACAGCTACCAGGTAGAGAAATGAAAAGTGGAGGAGGGGGAAAAAAAAAGTCAATCCTGAAAGCATTAGGAGAAGAAACAAACATCAAGGCAAACTGAAAAACCAGCATGCATACACAAAAAATACACACCCGAACCAATAATCTTGCCTTTTAAACCAAGACTTGAACTGCTCTTGCCAATACTATGGCAAGGCTATTGCCACTGAAGTCAAGGAGCTTCCAGGGCTTAGGACGGGCAAGAGATATGAATTATATGCTGCTGCTTACACACAAAGAGAAGGCAGCTCTACAGTACACAATTTCTAAAGCCTTTTCCCCTGTTGCTACAAACCTGGCTATGGACTATACACACAGTTGTGTTAATTAAGTGCCAGGCTTTAAGACTGGATCAATTAAATCAGTACAACTTTGTGAGCTGACAATTAGATGAATTTAAACACAGTTCATATCATATTTAAGACCTACAAGACAGCTCCTTATGGACCAATTATACACCTTGCCAAAACAATTAAGAGAATCAATGTGGAATGAAGCTTACCTTGGCAAATATTCCTGACACCTTTGCCTGGACAAGGACATTTTCTGCTGGCAAGGGGATGGGCATCATTGCGGCTGCAGCCCTTTTGACCCTGTCCTAGGAAATCTACAACTGCCTCTACCACCCCGTCCAACCACAGCCCTACAAGGGCTTACAACCAGTTTCGACTGATGTAATTATGTTCACGCAGTAGTCCATCATTAACGTAACTAAACCTCTTTCATTAAAGCAGGTGCAACCTTATGCGCAAACAAGTGCCTAGGGGATGAAATAACTCCTATGCATGACAAGAACTCAGAGCAATTATTTAAAATAAGTTTTAACACTCCACCCACGAAATTATTAACAGCCCAAGATTCCTAGTTCTTGTGAAATAAACACACAGAGAAAATTAAAAAGTGAAACAGGAGGAAGAGTTCTGGTTCCTGACTGTAAGTTGCAGCAGACTAATGAACTACACTTTCAGCATTATGTTTTAAAAAAAGTTGCAAGGAGTGCACAGCCAGTGAGGAGATCAGAGACACAGCTCAAAATCACCCCTTCCTCCTTGTCTTTCCCCTCAGTCCAAGAAATACAAAATAAAAAAGGAGCAGATATATGCTTGCCCCACACAGCCAAACCTAACTCTTTAGGCTCTATAATGATTACTCCAAGGCTATCAGCTTGGGCAGAATTCCCTTGCATTGAAAAACCAACAGTAACAAAACAAAAAACAAATGGGGGGGGAAAAAAAGAAAAAAGAGAAAAGTCTTGTTCAGATTCAGGCAGGATACAGCTATAAATATTAATTCATTAAAACAAACTTGAGACTCTTGCTACAACTGTCCCCCTAACAGACCACTGCAGTGCGTCCCACTGCACCGGCCTCTGGAGATGGGAGGACAGCTCTGTGGCCATTATTACAACACTAGTTCGAGAGAGTTGCAGAGCAAGGAGGCAAGCTGATCTAAACACTCCCAGACAGGGAACTTGTCCCTTACAACAGGGCTGGCTGTCTTTTTCACCGTTAGGACCCTTAGCAATCAGTTCTGAGGTGGGCAGCAGATTCTCTCCCAGAGGATCACTGCTCAGTAGAGGAACGTACCATCTCTTGACATCCCAACAGACAGGCATTTTTTGAATCGACACTGCTGGCATCTGTTCCTATTCATTCTCATTATAGAGCAGTTATTATTCTTCAAGCACTTCTTATACTGGATGTTTTGCTGAATGCTTCTTCTGAAAAATCCCTGTAAACAAACAAAAACACACCCCCAACTATTACTACAGCACACGCGTCAAATCCTCAGGCCAAGATTCACCTCTCCGCAAGCACAGGAAACCTCATTGCGTCTCACTGGCTGATTCGGAGCCATCAGCGCCAAGTTACTTGAAAGAACTCACTACACTGTGTAACTTCCCCTTCGTGCATGATCTGTGTATAACAAAAACTAGTCATGATTTCTAACCATAGAAGATACTACGTTGTTCTCTTCACAGTCAGGACCTAACAGCAAAATAGCTCCAGTATTACTTCTGTCACTGTACTGACAGATTATAAGATAAGCCCTCGACCTCCCACGACATCAAGTGCAAAGACCAAAGTCAGAATCAGATCTTTTGACTTCAGAATCCACAGTTTGGTAACAAAAACATCCTGTTGCACCACGTGACCTTCAAAGGTGGTTCCTTCACATAACCCCTCAGTTGATCAACTCGTTCACAGAACACAAAATTTGTAGTGTTACAGATCTACAGATCTACTTATACGTAAACATGCAAGCACCTAGCTCTGGCTTTCCCCGTGGTAAAGAATTGCTTTTCCAAAGCTGTTTTGTTCTGTGTCCCAGGCCAGGTGACAACTCACACCCACTATCTCTTAATGCAATTAACATTCACGTGTCTTGCGTGACACGGTCCTCACCACCGCTGTCTCCAGTTCTTGTTCTCTGCCATGCACTCAAGGTCAGGCAGGACTGGACAAGGAGCAAGTACAGAAACGACTGCAGAGTTTGGAAAATGCTTTGTATTCTTAAGCCGTTTGTTTTTCCTATCACTTAAACACTATCTGAAATTTCTCAGATCTACACTTAACAGAGAAGCATACTGGTATTTTTTTCAGAAGTATCACCACTTTTCCCCTATGGGGAGAACTTGAACGTTTCACCAGTAGAAAGGTGAGCAGAAATATAGCTCACCTTGCAGCCCTCACAGGCATGAACACCATAATGAAATCCTGAAGCGACATCTCCACAGACTTTGCAAAGAAGAACCATGCCATTAAATTCTAGAATCAGAACAGAAAAGTCAAAGATACAGAAAACCAATGACAACTGCAGGAACAAGTTTCCAGCTTTTAAAACCTGGACTAAAAGCAAAATATGTCAGGTCAGTTCAACATACAAAAAAATTACAGCAGAAGAACAGACAAGAAGAATGTACAAAACCTCTCAACTGTTCAGAAGGTACCAGTGCAAGGGAGGGGAGGAAAAAAAAGACAAACATGAAGCACTCAACAGAATAGGGAGAAAGCACGTATTCAATGGACGTTCAATCACAGTAGCATTGTACTCAACCGCAGAAAAAGAAAGTCTGCTTGCATGTATGCACTTTTAAAAGGGCCATTTAGTTAACCAGGCCACCAAAGTTCAGGCTCAGTCTGTTTTTCAAATCAGGACAAGTAAGCCCATATAAAAGCTATGGCTTTACCAACAAACAATAAACATCTTTTTCTTAAAAACAGAAATATTAAAAGATACTTAATTTTATTATATACTGTAAAGGAGTCATACATGCTACCTACTTGATAACAATGTAGGACTGGCAACTCAGCCACATCTACATACATGAAGACCACCCATTTGAGTGCATCCCCAAAACGACATGCTTGTATGCTTGAACCTGAAAATACCTTCTCAGCCCTGTAAATACACTCACAGTTTGGGTTTTTAAGTTCTTCCCCATCTACTTTATTTCAGCTTGTCAGTAAAGAGGTTTTTTGAAAGTCTTAAATGCTGGTCTAACATTGGTTTCACCGAAGCCAATGGGAATTTTACCAGTGACTTCAGTAACCACAAAGTTATCTTAACAGAGAGCAACAGAGACAGCTCGAAATACTCCCACAGAACCATATTCTATCAGAAAAGTAATTTATTTGACATTTGGGTTTCATTTGTAAAGAGGAACTAAAACTTTTTTTTTTGGTAAGGTTTTGAAACAGAACCAAACCGCAAAATTTCCTTTTTTTTTTTCAAAAAAAAAAAAAAAAAGATAACATTTCTAGCTCGGCACTAGCTATATATCTGTGTATACATGTGAAAAGTTTGCAGCAGCTTCCATCTTCAGGAATCTCTGCTCTGACACCAAATCCCTAGTCGCTAGCAATTTTTTAAGAAGTAAAGGCTCTTTCTAAAAACTTAGGGTAGGTACACTTTAAAAAAAAATTAAGACTTTTCAGGTAGAACTGTTATACTTATTCTAGCTTCATAACAATTCAAAATAAACCAATTCTGCCAATAAAAGAATTCAGCCTTCAAAAGACTAGTCTAAATTCCAGCTGAGCTGAAACATTCATTCCAGTACTCAGTCTGATTCCTGCGTTTCCAAAATTGTAGAAATACAGTTCTTTATCGCTCACCTTCTCCAATTACAAAAAAAAAAGTGTGAATCAAATAGCTGGACTGTTAGATGCATTTTTAAAAGGTTACCCTTTAGTTCCAGTTTACAAGAACTTTATTTCTTACATCCGCAAATTAAGACTTGGAATCAAAAAGATAAAGGTCTCAGCTACAGCTACATAAACACAATATAATGGTTTGGCAATTTACTTATTTAGTTGCTCAAAGAAATTTGGTGGAGGTAAGGTGATGAGGCAGGGGAGAGAGTAGGAAAAAAAAAAGAGAAACCAGATTTGCAAGGTAGTTCCATAAACACTCCTGCAAGCAGTTTCTGATTACTATTGCCTTTACCTCACTGCATCTTTTTAACCATGTGTTTGATTTTTATTAAGATCCATTTTCACTGGTGAGTATCTGAAATAAAGCTGGACTGTTTTCATAGACCGTTTGAAGTTAGCAGCAATGGGACTTCCATCTCTTAGCATCTGTACGACAATGCCGTATGTAAAATGCAAAAAGATAAAAATGAGGGCCTCGCTATGTGCCTTCACAGCAAACCATTGGTTCTAACATACGGGGTTGTAATATATATGGAGAAAATGGTGGTTTCCAGAACCAGAACCAAACATACTTGTGACTCCGTTATGGCCTTTTGTCAAACCAGCCACACTCGACTGGTTTGTTTTAACAGCCTCCTCCAGCCGATCGCTCTTCGGTGCCCCATCGGAGCCCTCGCCACTCCGGCCATTGCAGCTGCTTTCCGAGGAGGAGCTGTTCGGAGAAGATGGAACAGGCGAAGAGGACGACTGGAAACCGCTGTCTGAGCTCTCGCTGTGACATGAGGCTGGGCTAGATGCCGAGCTTGAAGAGCTGATGTAAGCTATCACACCCCCTAAGGCAAGAAAAAAAAAAAAGGCGGCACGTAGTGACATAACAAGCAGACATGCACCGCTGCCATGTGAGCCACGCCGTGACCCAGCACCACCAGACCCAGCCATCACGTGTCCCTGGGTGCACTCCTTTCCCTCCCTCCCTCCCTCCCTCCAGCTTGCTCCTCTCCATTTGTTTTCAACAGCTGACCTCCCAACCTGCCCCATCTTCATCCCCTTCCCCGGTCTCATCAGCCTCCTCCGATCCAAGCCTAGCTGGAAATGGCAGAGCCAAAAGATGGAGCAACAAGCCATGGTGCTGGCAGGACAGGGCAGCGGGGAGAGAGGGCCAGGGTGGCCCAGGGAGGGTTTCCCTGGCCACCCTCTGAGCAGAGCTCGTCTGGTGCCACAGCAAAGACAGGATCTTAGAGCACTGTGGAGCCAGAATGCAAACAAGCTAGGTTAGGGACAGAAATAGGGCAGAGAGAAAGGCTTCACGCAGGCTACGCGCCAGAGGCACAGAAAGGAAGGGCTGGGAGGTGCTCATGATGCAGGAGCGAAGTGGGCAAGGGCAAGAAATAGCGCTGCAGCCTGGTTAGCCTACTGAACACCATTTGTCCGACTGCAAGCTTCTGTAGCGTTTCTAGCAGCAGCTCAACTCCAACTGCTAGGCTGCTATTTGCAAACAGCCTCTGTCCTGCCGCGTCTTGCAATCTGACACACTTGAGAATCCCTCAGATGAAACAGCTTTTTGTCCTCAGGCAAACCTGGGAGCAGTTCTGGCTTTTCACAGGCTCCTTTTTCTTGCTTGTAAGCAACAGCAATTGCTTTCACTTCATTTGAGTTTGTCTCCAAGACTCAGCATTTCAAAAGTCAATATAAAAGCATTTGGTATTTCACACAAAAATCTCAACAGTGAAAGCCACGCAACTGTTTAAATAAATTACACTGAACACGTTCTCTAGCTTATGCCTGTACTGCTCTGTAAAGTCTCTTCCCAGAGGATTCAGTGCATTGCAGCACGGAACTCCACAGAATTGAAAGAATTAACCACTTTAAAACAGTCATGCAGAGGCTTCCTCTGGAGGAAAAAAAGCATTGGTTGTCAGAAAAGCCCTTGATCTGCTGTGCTGGCATGGCAGGTTCGGGCTGTAGCCCCTTACATCAGTCATCACCTCTCCACAGATAAAGGCTGTTATGCCTATTAGGCAGCAGCGTTATACAACACTGGAAACATCACTGCATGCAGCTAGAAATCCTGACTTACAAATTTTCATCGCTTTGATCAGCTGTAATAGTCCTCTTAGCATTTCTGCAGCAGCTTTTACTGGCCCATTTCCTCTTCAACATTTGCTTAGTATTTTTTTTCTACCAAGGAAACCGCCACCAGCACCCTACAGAGCGCACAGCCGAGAAGACCCCAGCAGAGCTGCTGCGGAGCAAAAGTCAGACCAGGCAGCCATGCGACACGTGCCCGACGCACAGCCTGCTTCTCACGTTCCTGGACACCGGCACCCCTGTGTCCCACCCCAGCAGTCCTTCCTGCACTGTTTTTTTTTAAAAGAAATTCCTCCACGTAGCATAGCCCACATCCAGGATCAAGCTTTTGGAGAAGGGATCATTGCAATGGGGCAAGAGTATGAGAAAAAGACACCGTCGAATGCCCGTCCTAGTGTAGGGCAGCATCTACTCGACAAAGGTCCTGCTGTCCCCTGGTGCTGCACGTGCCTCTGCCAGGTGCCAGGGCAAAGCTCACAGTTCACCTGGTCCAAGGGAGGCACCTGGTTCCTCATCAGGCGCCGTCCTTATCTGCAAGGGGCAGAG